AACACTTATGACTCAGTGTGTGCACAATCTTCTCTGCAGAGGAGGAAGAGAAAGTAACAGAAGAAGCTTAAGAGTGAAAGAGAGTAGTCTCAGCAGTGTTATCATCTTCAATTAAAATGATCTCTGATGCTGAAGTAACTAAGAACTATTATTAGTATATAAAATTACAAAAGCAGAGATAATAATTACTGAATGAACACTCACTGACCTTAGAATTGTACACATAATTACAACATGCATGAGGCTTCTCAGAAAGAGAGAGAGAGACACAGGGAAATGCAGAAAGCAGAATGCAGTGTGTGAACAGCTCATTTCCATGATGACATCTCAGACAAGGCATATGAGCCTCACACCTGTGAGTGTAAAAGAGTATAACATCTGCATTCCTGTTTTAGAAAACACAGATATCTTTCACCTGCACTACAAAGTCAGACAACAGATGTCAGAGAATAGACTGATACAGATCTATTATCTTGAAGAAATTCATCAGAGTGAATGTCTCTGTGATGTTGAACTTTACAGTTGTGAAAAGCTTCTTGATGTCTGTGAATATCACAACTTCATACACAGTAAAACTTATAATGATTTTCTCTAAGAACAGAAAAATCAGTATCAGAAAGAAAAGATGAAAAAGAAAAAGACTTATAATCTCAACACTGTTGAGAGAGAGAATGATTCTCTGATATAAATAAATAATTATCTTATCATGAATATTTAAAATAAATATAATAATCAGCATCTGTGACTGAGCTTCAGATAGTCATGTTATACACAGTCTTCATGCAATAAATTATTCTGAGAGTTGATAAGAAAGACAGAAGTATACACACTGAGAGAGATGATTCATTAAGCCTATACAACATCTTCTTGAAATGAGAAGAGCTGATAACAAAAGCAGAGACAGTAAAACCAGAAGTAGCAGAAGTGAGAGTTGTAGAAACAGAGATAGCAGAAGAGAAATCAGGCATAGAAACAGATGTAGAAGATTAAGAGAGAGTAGTAGAGAAAGAAACAGAGAAGACAGAGAGAGATGCAGAAGACCTGATTACACATAATATAAGTAATTTCTTCATTATCACATTCTTCAAGTTCTTGATCAATGATTCAACATTGAGTTTACTATCATTGACAGATGTGAATCTGTCAATATATGAGAATTCTACATGAATAAAAACAACATATCAGCATCTGTATCTCTGCAAAATTGTGTCAGAAAACATGATCAGAAACCTGCTGAGAAGAGAAACAGTCAAGAACATATAAGAAGATGAAGAGAGTGTATAAGAAGATGAAGAAGATGTGTCATTCATAATAGTACATTCTGATAATTGTTAGAAGATAAACAAGTCCTGATCATATTTCACAATGCATTACACTTACTGCTAACAAACTGCCTGGTATGAATACTATGAGAACACTTGTTATAAGAACAGAGAGTCATTGCCAGAAATGTATACAATGTGATAGATAGACAGATGAAAAGAGTTGAACAGAAGAAGAAGTAGAAATCTTGAATGAGATGATGACATTTGATAATGATGATAATGAAGATGATGATTGAAGAATGAGAAAAGTTAGTGAATAAGTGATGTAATATAGTGAAAGTTTCTTTGTGAGAGTGTACATGAGATACTAACCAAATCAGAGATAGATCACACAATTGTGAAACACTAGTGACAAGCTAATCTGCATGAAGCTAGAGTGTATAACATGATTACATAAGTGTGACTGAATCTGGTGAGAGAGAATGTGATTTGAAAGAATGTACAATCATCAGATAATAACACAGCTGCTTTCAAACTACTAGCATATAAATGTAAAGAGAGGCCTAGTGGCCACTAATTAATTTAGCATACGAGATTCAATATATAAGAAGCCGGTGTACGCCTGTAATCGTACGCTGGCTTAAGCAACCTTTGAATCACAATTTATCTATATTATATTATATTTTCTTCATTAAATGTTGAAAAAATTGATCATGAGAAGATATCTCTCTGAAGAGAAAAGCTGAAATCTCTCATTGACTTATAAATAAGTGAACTATCTAAAGAGAGAGAATATGAACAGTATTTGAAGAAGATCTCTATAATCAATATAAAAGACTCTATTCTGATTTACTCAGATGACTCAAAAAATGAGAATTTGAATAGATTAGATGCAGACATTGCTTATACTGAAGATAATATCAATTTTATCTCAGATTTCTGAAATTTAGACTGTGAATCTGAAGCCTTTGATGCTGAACTATTTGTAATAGTGAAAGCTTTCAAACTCATTGAAATAAAATCTTATAAAAGAGGAAATAGTTTGAAAGAGACATGAATATTCTCTAATAGTCAAGCTACTTTAAAAAGACTTAGAAATAGTCAGATTTATAATGATCAAATGAATCTTAATCTGATTTTAAACTCTGTTTTGAAAATTCAAAAGAGAAGAACATTTAAACTGATAATTCATCTGCATTGAGTTCCTGCTCATATGAATATTCATGACAATAAATTGGCTGATTCAGCTGCAAAAAAGAGTTCAGAATTAAGCAGATCTATTTAAAAAACAGTGTCCTGATCTTTCATAAAGAGAAAGATAAAAGAATCTTGTTTAAATAAGTGAAATGAAAGCTGACAGAAACAAAAGAAGAGCATACATTATTCAAGATTTGAGACAAAATCAAAGTGAAAATCTTGTTCAATTAAATGTAAAAAGAAAATATTCTCATTCATAATTCAGCTAAAACTAGAACATGATTATTTCAAATTCTATATACAAAGATTTGATGATAGATTTGATTCAGCAGAGTGCTCATTCTGCAATATAAATGAGAATTCTGAGTATATTATAATACATTGTGTATTATACAATAGTCTCAGAGTCAGATTAAAGAAGAAGTATGATTTAAATCAATTAAATATAAGGTTCTTATTCTCAACTGAGACAGGACTTAAATACTTAATAGACTTTCTATCAGAAACTTAAGCAGCTATAAGAAAATAACTTAACTCAGAAGTATCTGAATATGAAGAGATGAAAATTGATTAGATATAGTCTGTTAAAACAGCTATACACTATCTTTTAATAATTTTATTTTGTTATAGTCTCTCTTTACTGTACTTGTTTCTTTCTGTTCTTTTCTATCTATCTATTTAATGTGTCTATCTTTAAGACTATGTTCTCTTTTCCTTTGTCATGATATTTTCAAATGATTTCAAAGTATTAAAAGGTGTTGAAATACTGTAATTTGTAAACAGTTTTTATATTCTGAGCTAGAATTTTCTGATTTTACATATCTGAAATTGATAAGTGTATAATAGTTGACTCTATAGATATAGGAAAAACTCTGAGAACTAAAGATTCTCAGGTAGATACTATAGTCTCTGACTGCATACATCTATAATTGAAGAATAATAATAATAATATATTATATTATATAGAATTATCTATTAAATTTACTAATTTTATAAATAAATTTTAATAATTATACTATTATTAAGCTTCTGATAATTTAAAAGACAGTATTATATAATATTCTAATATAGAATAGTGATAAATATAATAATTATTTAATATATAAATCTCAGATAATAAGATATTTATATTATAATTAAAATATCTTATTTCTTTTAATAAATAGTTAATAAATAACAGCTGTTATACTGAGTAATAGATAATTAACTTAATAGTATTAATTTCACTGATAGAATAGTACATACTACTAGGCTGATTATGTAACTGTGTCTGAAACCAGAATCAGAGTTTTTGATAGTCTTATTACTAATTTAACAGATTCTATTACACAGTTCTAATATTAAATAGTAGTTTTATACTGTCTCAGTGAGACTTACTGTCTACTCTTATTACATTTTTTAAATAAGATTATGATTTTCACTTCTCAATTTAAATTATTTTTATTACTTTAAATGACTTTAAATCTTATTTAAGTATTATTAAAAAGTGTTACTTTTTAAAAAATTAAAAATAGTCTAAAAAAAATCTTAAAATGTATAAAAATAGTAACTTTATATCAAGAATAAGATTAAATGAGATTAAATGAAATCACTTTCTTATTTTTTTCAAGTTATAGTTTCATTTTAAGATCTGATATATAGTTACTTTACATGTTTATTTAATAATTAGTCTTAGCAGAATTCATATCAAGAAATGTATAAGATTAGATTAAATGAAATTAAATATGAAATTCATGATTCTGATAATCAGTCTACATACTATATAGTATCTTATAGTATCTTAGTAGTATTCTGATCATAGTATCTATCAATTATATAATTACTGAATAGTATTATAATAATATTAGAAAGTTCTGTATTATCTTAAAACTATCTTAACATTTAATATTCAGTAATATGTCACTGAATATAATGATGAAACATGTGTTATGATTGACAACACGTGACACAGGTGGAATGGTGGATCCACGGTGTAATCACCGTAAATTAACCCTATGTTCTTCCCGTATGGAAGCTCTTTGTGTAGGCTACTGGGGCAAAAGAGCTCAGTCACCATATTGAGATATCCATATAAATTTCTAAAGTTGCCCTACGTCATCACTGTGGGGTGATAGGCTAGGCCGATTATGTCACTCTCAGACGCGCCGTTTCCGTCATCAACGTCACTCCTCCTGGCATTGTAAATGACTCTTCTTGCACCAGACTATTTTATCTTTTTAGGGGTAAATACTACAATTGCTCGTCTCGTTATAGGCATCCCCGTTTCGCTTTAACTTACGGAGTAGTGTCAACACACATAGCCCTCCTGAATTGAACCATCTACTCCCGCAAATATTTTTCTCATATTTTATATTCCTATTGGAGAATACCTTTATTTTATCTCTTTTACAGAGTCGATCTATCCTTTTCGCCTCGTCGCTGTTAAAGGAGTGTCCTTAGCTGCTACCCCCTCTCAGATTGAGATAAGAAGCATAATCATACTCTGGGCCTACCGGCTTGCTTCCAGGTTGGTCAATCCCCATATACGACCCGCCGACGATGGAATCGGGGTCAGATTTAGTAATAGGGGGAGAAGGAGGAGGATTCATGCCCGCTTCCCTCCCCTCCCCACCTGCATCTTCCGTGTACTCGACCTCCACCATTACGCCGAATCTCCCGCAACAGAGAAAACAAACCCTCAGACCAGGAAGCGCCAAAGAGATGACAGTCATCAACTTCGTCGACAGTCACATACTAGCTATAAACCGGCGGCACGCGAAGAAATTTAGCAGCGCGTTCGCCGGGGACGAGAGTGAGACAGATCGGGGCTATGAGAATTTTCGCGAGGTTGTGAAGGATATCGAGGCGATTGTTGACGTGCTTTGGGTTAGCGGAACTCGTAAGTTGATTTCTTTTCTTGTTCCTATACGTTAGAATTCCTTTTTAAATACAAAATCGTGCCTTGCCTCGACTTCCCACCTCCTCTACCTAATCGAGATTGCAAATGTACCACTTCTTTTCTCAATCCGCAACTAACATCTTCCCCCCCCAAAAAAACTCCCCAAACAGCATCACTCCAAATCCCCTACCTCATCTCCCTAGCAGGTCTACTAAATACCTACCTCCCGGATTTCCCCTTCTCCGCACGCGCAACGTTCAAACTTCTCAGGAAATTTGACACCATCTTCGCTTCTCTGCTGCTGGGGGAGGACTTGCAAACAGGACACCCGCTACCGGGCTTCGAAGGCAAGCTTGGAGTGGTTTCCGTCACGGAGAAGGTGAGGATTAAGAGTCTTGCGGAGAGTGCGCGGATTATTGTTGTCAGTGCGCAGGGGAAGGAGGACGAGGAGGACGGTGTAGGTATGGGTAGGGATTATGGTGATGACGATGATGACGATGACGACGGAGGAGGAGATCGGGATGGGGACTATGAGAGTGGTGGAGGGGGAAGGTCGGACCTCGAGGGCTTTGGAGACGAACTTGGGAGGTGGGAGGTGGAGTCAGGGAGGGTATATGAGAGGACTATTCAGATATTGGGGGATGAGTTGGGGAAGCAGGATAGGTGAGGTGTGTATATGTACTTTTTTTTCCCTTTTTTTTTCCTTTTTTTTTTTTTTCCCTTCCCTTTTTTTTTTTTTTTTTTTCCCTTTTTTTTATTTTATGATTTTTTTTTTGTTAAGAGAGGACTCTTTTTCTTTTTCTTTTTCTTTTTTTTTTTTGGAAGGCTTTCCTCTTATTTTATGGACTTGGGGTTTGGAGGAATTAATAAGAGGCATAGCAGTTATTTAGTGAAGGCCCGCATGCAATCCATCTAGGAACCCGGACAATTATTGGCCCCCTCCATGGCCAAAACATCCGTACGCTGAGTCCATGGTTTCCCGGAGTGAACGTCAGGGCCTCCGGTACGTGAGTGAGGTTGAAGTTGCAAACATCATACTTAATTAGAATTTAGTCTTTGAACACCATCACCATGTATTTTGGGCATAGCCTCCATCATATGAACTAACAACTGAACAAGCTGCAAGCTGACAATCAGGCCACAGAAAATATCATAAAAGGCATCATTTAATTGATAGGAACATGTAGTTACGTAGTAGTTGGGAAGGTACGTACGGTAGGTACGCTTAAGGTTTTATTTCCCAGTGATTCCATCTCAAAACAGATGTTGTGTTGTGCGCGTTCCTGTTAAACTTTCTCTAATTCGTCTCGCTTCCGAGACATGAAAAATAAATGCTCGTGGCCAGGCTTCGGTGTGTCTTACTTAGGTACTGTACAAGTACAAGGATATATAGTCTGACAATTGGACAGTAGTAGTACTCCATGTCTGAGCAGGTTGTTAGTTAGTACAATGATGTATATATATCCATATATGGAGGATATCCCTCTTCTTCATACTCTGTACAGATATTGGTGGATAGGGCGATACCAGTGGTTGTAAACAAAGCAGCTTCTTGACTGTAGACAGCGTAATTGAATAACGACTCCTCCCTGCTTTCATTTCGTTCTTTCTTCGAACTCGGTTTTTCTTTATTTAACCATTTTTCCCATTTTTTACCGTTTTGCATATTTTTTTTTTTTTTTTTTTTCCCCTTCGTCCCTTGCAGCAAGCCCAATTGCTTCCTTTCCTACAAAGTACTAAAACGGGAATTCTTCTGGTTCAATTTCTTCTCTCCTTTCTCCATTTATCTCTTCTTCTTCTCTTCCATCTAACTCATAACCATCGATTTACTTCTCCTTCCTCATTGTTGTTGGTCGCTGGTCGTTCTTCGTTCTTCGTTGTTCGTCGTTCAGCTTTGAACCTCCCCCTTGCGCTGGTTATCTATCCATTTATTATTTATTTATCCCTCTCTCTCCCTCCCGTTTGCTGGTTAGTTTTCATTGTCCCCTTTTTCGTTTTAATTATTTAAATAGAGTAGTTATAATTCTATTACTATAATTATTATTATTACTATAATTATTATAATTATTTACACTGTTTTTCCTTCTTCATTGTTCTTCTCTTTCTTTTCGCCGCCCCACCATCCCCGCCGGCAAAAGAGAGTTTCGTTCGGTTTTTATTTTATTTTATTTCTTTAATAATAATTCGGGTTTTCTTTTTTTAGCAGGAAAAAAAAAATCCCCCTCCTCTCTCGCCGTCTCTCTCCCACCTCCAGCTCCTTTTCATCCACACCCCCACCCCACCCCCGTCGACAAAGGAAACGGCATCGTTTTTCTTGTTTTGTTGGTTGATCTTTGCTTCTTCTTCTTCTTCCTCTTCTTCTTCGTCGTCGTCGTCGTCGCCGCCTTCATCTTTCCGTTTTTGCGCCCGCAGGAGTTTTTTTGAATTCCGATTGTCGTCAGCGTTTAGAGGAGAGCAAAGAAAGAAAGGGAAAAAAAAGCGCGCAAATTCAAATTTTCCCTACTCCGACCGATCAAAGAAACTCCAGCGAAACGACCTTTTGCTTTCAGGGAGGGTTCTAAGGATTCTTTTGCTGTGTATATTTTATTGGTATAAGCAGTCTTGATATTGATATCTTCTGCACTTCAGTCTGTTTTATCCTGGGATCAAGTTCGGAGTTGTGGTGAGTGTTTCTCTCTCTCTCTCTCTCTCTCTCTTTATTTTTTTTACTGTAATCGAATCTACACATTATCAATGCCCTTTTCTTTTTCAAATTGCCCGTGTATGCACCTGGTCCTCTCTGTATTATCAAATTGCGATTTGATACCTACTCTTTCGCCCTATGGAAGAGGGGTGGAAGAGGGGTAGAAGCTCTGTGGAAGGGATTTGCGCGCGTCGAATCGCCGCAGAGCCGCAGAGGGGAAGCAGCAGCAGCAGCAGCATCATCATCATCACCATCACCACCGCCACAGCCAGCACCAGCACCAGCCCCATCCATCTCCATCTATCCGTCTCACCCCTCTCTGCCTTGTGCTAGCATGCTAGTCTTGTCGGGTTGGCAGACTCGTCCCCCATCTTGAATTGGCTTGACTGCATGGATATTATGAAGCAGTAGTTTGAAGCGATGAGCGAAGGCTGGCTGAGGGAGTCCAGACACCCATACACACAACAACCCACCCACCCACACAACCTCACTACACACAACTACATCCACTACACCGCACCGATCTCTGCATATAAACTACATACATACATACATACATATTTATCATCACAACCAAGAAAAGGGTTTCAAGGCATGGAGGTGGGGGGGGATGAGAACATCAAATCATCACCGTGGCAATGAGTTGAACTTGGAGTCTTGTTGTTCCAGCTCTCTGATCCCGCAGCAACCTGGCAACCCATTTCTATTATTTCTACTGCATTGTTATTATTCTGCTAGTTATATCCACTGCAGCCTATGTCTTTCTATCTCCCCTTCATCTTCCCTCTCCACTCCCCAATCCATCTCTCATCTCTCTCTCTCTGCGAAACAAGGCACCACTACACTACACTGCACTTG